CTCCTCCCTCCATATCTCTGTCTTTCGTAGTCCTAAGCAACATCCTTTCGCACTCTAAAGACCCTTGTTCCCCAACAGTGACCATCAGCGGGCCTCCCTTCAAAGGATTCTTCGTGCAAGCCCAGGACAGCCACACCGGTGACTGGCTCGGCGAGTTCTTGGACGAAGGCCCCGTCAAGACCCACCCCGAGTGCTCCGCCATCACCCACGCCGACAAAGCGCGCAAGAAGCACATTCGCCTCACCTGGCGCGCGCCTCGCTCCGGCTCCGGCTCGGTGACGTTCACGTGAGTCATTCCTTGTCTTGGCGCGCTTCCGTCATTCTTTGCTTTCACGGGTTTCGGCTCCGGTTATGGATTACTTTCCTTGCTCTTTCCTCTCATTTGCTTTCACTACTGTGAATGGATTTGATATAATTTCACCAATGGCATGGTATTGCTTTCTATTTCTACCTCACATTTTCTAGTTTATTTTTTCCTTTTGAATCTTTACTTTCCCCGGATATTTAGGTTTGTCAAAATTTGCTTCTCACCTCATTTCAAATAATTTTATTTTCCAGTCGTTTTCTTCGATTGTCTCTCCCTCCTTTGAGTGTTCCACCTATTTTGAGGTGTAAATTCAAATATAAAGCATACCATACATATATATCTTTCTGCACTGCCATGGCTCCACATTAACTTCATCTGCAAATTACTCCACAGCGGGACGGTTTTGGAGAGGTACGACAAGTACTGGTCCGACATGGTGGCTCAGGTGGTTCCGTCCCGTCGCCACTTCTGAGTCCCTCCGCATCGCATCGCTTCCCAGTCAAGTCGTGGCAGCCATCATTGTCTGGTTTCATCTATTTATTGGTTGTTTATTGTTTACATTTTTGGATTTTATTTTTTTTTTGTCCCGTCACAAATATTTGCGATCATCATATGTCTTCAGCTCAAGGAAGTAACAAGATCTGATAAAGTGGAGGTCGGATTTGGCGTCTCTCCTTTTACACTTCATTGGTAAACCTAGCTTTGGAGATGATTTTGTGTTGTTTTCGCTAAATAGTGCATGGTATTTAACTTATGTAGTTTCCATACACTTTAGGGTTGAAAATAGAGGTGAAGTTATCGCGTTTTTAATTTTCCTTCCAAGGATTTCAGACTGACTCACTGCTACGCTTACAACTGTCCTCAACTTGGCAGCTTCTCCAACATTTTTTTCCTGCAGAAACAAATACCCATATTTTGAGATAGGAATTGTTTTTAATATTTCCTATTTTTCCCATGCAAAATTGAAATAACTCTAATAAACACACAAACATGAATAAAACACCATTATAACTTCTATTTTTATTAGGCCTATATCTGTGAGTCGCAACAAGGTGATGAGATCCAAGTTGTTTTTGTCTTCCAATCACAATACAAGAGTTTGACCAAAAGGAAAATTTACAAACTTTGTCTTGTAAGAACCGTTGCCAATTATGGACTACCAAAGCAACGAATATGTCAAATCACCTGGCAGTAATGTGAGCACAGGGCGCGCACACTTAATGGACAACATTTCGGAAAATAAAAAAATGAAACTGTCACTAAAACAGCCATATAGCAAATGATATGTGTGTGTTGACTCTGTTAAAAATTTCAGAGGGATCTTTTTAGGGAGAAGAGCTATGAAAGAGAAACAGAAATAAAGATAGAGAGAAAGTGTTAGATTGCTAAGTAATATATAGGTAAGAGGGACAGTGATAGAGAAAGAGAAAGCAGAGAAAGAGTAAAAGATGAAAAAGAGAAAACAAGAGAATGAGACTGTGCGTGTATGTATTATGCGTGTGAGTGATTACAAGCGTGATTGTGAGTGAGTGTGAATGTGAAGTGAGTGTGTGTATGTGTGCGTGTATGTGCATGTATGTGGGGGTGTGACTGCGTTTGCGTGTGTGTGGGTGTAGGTTTGGTTGTGTGTGGGTGTGTGCGTGTAGGTGTGTTTGTTTGTGTGTGTGTACTAGTTTATATGAAATGAGTGAACACTGTCAACACATGCAATGATGTCGTATAACTTCGTATAATGTATGCTATACGAAGTTATTACGTAATTTTCCTTCCAAGGATTTCAGACTGACTCACTGCTACGCTTACAACTGTCCTCAACTTGGCAGCTTCTCCAACATTTTTTTCCTGCAGAAACAAATACCCATATTTTGAGATAGGAATTGTTTTTAATATTTCCTATTTTTCCCATGCAAAATTGAAATAACTCTAATAAACACACAAACATGAATAAAACACCATTATAACTTCTATTTTTATTAGGCCTATATCTGTGAGTCGCAACAAGGTGATGAGATCCAAGTTGTTTTTGTCTTCCAATCACAATACAAGAGTTTGACCAAAAGGAAAATTTACAAACTTTGTCTTCTAAGAACCGTCGCCAATTATGGACTACCAAAGCAACGAATATGTCAAATCACCTGGCAGTAATGTGAGCACAGGGCGCGCCCACTTAATGGACAACATTTCGGAAAATAAAAAAATGAAACTGTCACTAAAACAGCCATATAGCAAATGATATGTGTGTGTTGACTCTGTTAAAAATTTCAGAGGGATCTTTTTAGGGAGAAGAGCTATGAAAGAGAAACAGAAATAAAGATAGAGAGAAAGTGTTAGATTGCTAAGTAATATATAGGTAAGAGGGACAGTGATAGAGAAAGAGAAAGCAGAGAAAGAGTAAAAGATGAAAAAGAGAAAACAAGAGAATGAAACTGTGCGTGTATGTTCGTATAACTTCGTATAATGTATGCTATACGAAGTTATTACGACAAACAAACAAATCTACACGCACGCACACACGCACACGCACACATGCACATACACTCGTATAACTTCGTATAATGTATGCTATACGAAGTTATTACGTCACTCACAATCACGCTTGTAATCACTCACACGCATAATACATACACGCGTAATAACTTCGTATAGCATACATTATACGAAGTTATACGATCCGTGTGCGTGTGTATGCGTGTAGGTTTGTGTGTGTGTGCGTGCGTGTAGATTTGTTTGTTTGTGTGTGTGTACTAGTTTATATGAAATGAATGAACACTGTCAACACATGCAATGATGTCATGAATCTCGTTACAAAGAGAGGAATAACGGCAATGTTAGTTACAGCATCGTCAGCAAGGCAGAGATGTACTTCACTGTTGGGCTTCTTCATATAATAAAGATCACAGAGTATTTCTAAACAAAGTAAAAAATATACCATTTAATTTATCTAAAAAGTTTCTAGATTGACCTATAGTTTGTATTCAATACTTTATTTATCAATTTGTGTATCCAATACTTTCAAGGTAATGTGAAGAAAACATACTTCTTTCTGATTTCTCCAGAAGTTTACCGAAGCTGACCCGACACAAGTGGCCACTCCTAGAAACTTCTCCATAAATACTTGACAAACATTGACATTCTCAGCTCAAATGTTTTCCTTTGCCAGCAACCATCACTGGCCACAGAGGTAGAAGTGAAATACAATGACAAACAGTTCCTAAAGTGTCTAAATTCTATCATCAAAAAAACATCTTAGTCATAAAGAATCACATCATAGACAGAGCTCGTCATCTTTATCACTGGTAATTTTGTCGATAGAAATTAGTGATAATTGATTCAAAACTGGCTGTATGAAACCATAACCTCCGACAACACAGCTTGGGTTCACAAATTTGTCACAGGATCTAAATGTGTCCAGGCTGGGATGATCTATCATGAACTTGCCTAATATTTGCATCAGTATCCCTGAAGTGAAAAGTAATCAAGTTTTATAATCAAGCATTGTTTTACAATTCAACAACATATGATATGCACAGGCATAAAAACACACATGAAATAACAAAATCTAGAGTAACAATATGCGATGATCTGCACATACACACCATACTTCATCCATACAACATCAAAAAACTTTTAAAACATCCAATGTTTGCAGTGCCCAATACACATCCATATATACATACAGACATTATGTACAACTGCTTTCTCACTCATTTGTACATGACTATATCATTATTGATATTAAACCAAAAATGCAGTTAAAACAAGTTCAAATCAAAAAGAAGGAAGCAATATATCAGTTTGGAGGAGGAGCTACACAGGGATAATTTGATATAAAATGTGTACAACAAAATCCTTTATAAGTGTGGTGGTAGAAATACATCCACCCACCCCACTCTCTTGTAATATGCATCTCATCTCTTCAGCAATGCATTCCTAGACACACACAGGTACATAGACATACATAATACACATAATGAAATGCATGGTATACACATGTCTATGTGAATACACATGCACAGTACACACTCAATGCGAAATGATTATTAATGACAGATCTTTAAAGGAAGATATAAAATTATCTATCAAATATTTTATGCTCACAGGACATGACATTAGATCATTCTCACCATAATGACAAAGCAAGTTCCATTTCCCCAATTTTGTATCAACTTAGCATTGTCTACAACACTGGGATCAGCAGCTGTAAGGACTGAAATATGATGGAAATATTGAAATCCAAACAAAAGGTAAGTTTCACATGTGCGCTATGTGAAGTATTTGTTTTTAATTAAAAACAAGAATTAGAAAAAAGACAGTGAAATCTGTCTCAGTTTGCAATAAAATACTTAATACAAACACATTTTACAATGATGCACAACAATGCTAAAATCTCATTACTAACTAGTTAATGGAAAGCAGTTTCTACAGTGTTCACACATTTCACTAACTGTACAGCAGCAAATATTCCCAAGACCTACACAATGAAGTGGTATCCATGTCAAACTGACCCTGGTCAATAATGTGCTATCATAATGGGTACAACCCATACCTCAGAATGGCCTATTGCAGGTCATAGATTCAATAATTACAATGCTCATGGTCAGTCTTTCCAAATCATCTTATTTTTACAATTTCTTTCAAAAAAGAAATATCCACTGACATATAACCTTGTGTTATATATGACCAATCATTTATTTTTCTTGATTAAAAGTTCTTTTTTTTGAAATAAGAGAAAAGTAATAAATATATAAATAATCATAGAAATACAGTAAATATATTAGTAATGGCAATAATTAAAGCAAACTCACAAAATAAAATTGAAAATTAAACCCATCCATTTCTTACAATTAATTGATGCTTATATGACTAGATGGTACTTAGTCTAATACAATTTATTTTATCCTAGTCTCCCAACTTCTCTTTCAAGTAAAATCCGTAACTATTTACAAAAGTTGTTGTTTTTGCACCTTCTCCTCTCTTGCAAAATGAAAACTCAACTTCTTGTTCTTCAAAACATCAGTACATTTAATTATGATCACTATAATGAGAAGTGAATGCCTTTCTAGGTGTTTGTGAAGTCATCATTCAAAACCTAAGGCATCATGATAAACACACAAGATCATGAGGTGACCTTGATCCCTTGAGTGATCTTTCCAAACCATAATTTACTCACAGATCTGCTTAAAGGACTGTAGCAGGTGCCCAGCTGTAATGACTACTTTTACAATGAAAGCAAATAATTATTTCTTTCTCTAGCACCAGTTCTCAAGAACAAGCCTTCTTTAGAGCAATTCATAAATTCATACTAAGTTTTACTGAGTATTTCAAAGTCAGCCTATCAGTCACACAACAATTGTAGCAATGTCAGAAAGGTTTACACATACAGATGCAGACTATGCATACACATTCACATACACACTCAATTACACACACACATGCTAACACACACATGCACACAGGGTTGCTCTCATAAAATATTTAAAAAAAACTAAGTTGTGATTATCATAATCAAATACAAATTCTGTTTTACTTTGTGGAAGGCCCTTGAAGTCAAAATACAAATATCCTATTGACAAACACGGTTCCTCAAAACCACAACACAGTTTACATGTCCATACACTCGTTTTACACAAACAATTACACCATGCATTTTCTACTGTAATCAAGATGGTTGTACTGACATTGCAAAAAAGCAATGGTGGACCCTGCGATTACAGTACACCCCCTCTCATCAAGCTGCATTTCACACCCGGTACACAAGAGGCAATCCACTTAGGAGACTTGTTGACCCTACCTAACATGATGACTAATTATCATCTGTATTAAATATCTGGATCTGCACTGTGAAGAAAACAATGCCTTCAGCTGTGGCAAGCACAAACCTTAACGGATCTTTTTCTCAAATTTACAGCATAAAAATTATAATTTTAAAATGAAGTAAAACACAAGGAAGAAATATAGAATGAAGATTCATAAAATAACAATAATAAAAATAAAAGATGAGTATTAAAATATGTTTAGACTGAATAAAATGGTAAGACTAGCTACCACGGCAATTGTAAAATCAGCATAAACATAAAAAAAAAAGACCAACTGACTTACGACTTAAAAAGAGTGCCACTTTCTCTTCTGAAATGTTACACTCTTTCCTCACAGATATCAAAGAAAAAAGAAAAACCCATAAAATCTCCTTTTAAAAAGCACTACAGTAATGTTAACTTCTCTACTGTTCTTTATTACTTCATAACAAACTAAAAGAAAAATAGATACAGTTACAAATATCTGTCTAGGTATCACATATCCGTACATCTTCTGGAAAACTCATTCAGTACCAAGAACAGGTTGTTAGGTATCCTGCTAACAACCCTCTGTCTATGATAAACAAGTCCTTCATATTGCTTATAAAACCTACATTTGGTTTGCTTCACCCATCACTTCCAGTGTATGACAACACAGGTCTTGATCAATTTTCTTCTGCTAATTTTATACAAGCTTAAACAATAAATGTGTAAATTCACTGGCTTCATAAATCTTAACTGGTGCTGGTGCCGAGTTTCAACGTTTCTACTTCCAAGATCCTGACACTTAGTCATACACTTCTGTCAACATCTCTACGATGCTTGCGTCAGCTGTGCCTCTAAAAAGCACAAAGCACTAAAAACACTTTCGACAAAAGAACAAAATGACTAACAAACCAGATTTGCTGAACAGATTCCATGATACAAAACAAAGATTTCAAAATCTAATTTCCATTTCCATCATAGGTTATTTAAGAGGAAAGAGAGCAGCTTGGTTTCATAATGTTCATTCGAGTCAAGCTGACGCAAGCAGTGGCGCTCGTGGGGGTAAATCTGAAAAAAAGAGAGATTATTAAACTAGACCATATCTAATTTTAAAAATTACAAAACAAAGAAATCAGCACCATATATTATGATGTAACAAGATGATTAAATACACAATCAGAGTTCTATAAAACCTAAAAACTTTATCTGCAAACATGCCAGGCCCACTCACAGACAGTTAACTCCTTCTTTACCATTCTGCCACTGCAATATAAAGAATCTTCCCCTGTGCACCATCTTACCATAGGAAGGGTAATGTACATTTCCCTCCCTCACTCCCCTCCCTCCTCTCCCCTCCCTCTCTCTCCTCTCCTCCCTCCCTCCCTTC